TTGCATTTAAGTGACTTGAAAATGCAGTGGGTACATCAGTGTTTGTACACTTTCTGCCTTCAGCTTCCCTGAACTTCTTCAGGCTGCACGGACAATGGGGTACAGAGCCTGGATAAAGACCAGCTGTTACATTTCTCAAATCACTCCTGAGTCAGAGACAACACATGTTTTTATGATACAATTGTCTCATTATAATGGCAGAAAAACAACATATATTACATTACAACAAATTACATATGCATGTAATGCTTTAAATCACATATCACTTCTATGTGAGGTGGAGARAAAACAGCCAAAAGTAACCCCTACACATTTTTCACAGTTTAATTTATTACTGCTGTTGTGCCAGTCCAGATGAGTGAGTAGGCGAGTCAGTATGTGAGATAATATTTTAGGGTGAAAACACCAATCTTGGTTTTTGAATAAAACCAAGTACCCAGATCCACCGTGGGTGGTTTACTCTGTCACACCTGTGACACCCTCCCACCTGGTACCTACAACACAGCTGCCACACACATCAAGTGTGCCCTATGGGGTGACATGTTAGTGTCCTGTTCCACAGATGAAGACACTGGTGCTCTCAGCAGCATCTGTCTTTCAAAGGTAGCCTTYGACAGCACCAGACCCAACAACACACAAAGCATCCAACACCACAGGTCCCATTTTAAACCTCTGACTGTACACGCTCCGTAAAGTTCACAGAACAAACTTGTGGCAGGCAAAACCGCGTTAAGGGAGGTGTAGACTGGCTGTCAGGAAGCACTTCCTGCCTGACAGCATGGTCAACAGTGCAACAGCCTTCCTAGAGAGGCAGTCAATGCCCCAAGCCTGGCAGGGTTTAAGAGGTATTCAGTGCCCTAAATAATGTGCTTTAACKTTTGCTCAGCCTTGAAGTAGTCAGGCAGTTGGACCCAGTGATTGTTGTAGGTCCCTTCTATTGTTAGTTACTATAATCATTATCAGCTGCAAGGGGAGCAGCCTGTAGCCTCATGGGAAGCGTGTCTAGGATTCCCTGCTGACAGGCACTGTATTTACTATGTGTAACAGTAAGTTCCCCACACAAGCTATCCCACGTGGGCCTCTCACTGTGCTTGTGCTCCCAAGCATTACTGTCACGTTTCTCAAAAGACTTTCTGCATAGCGAAACTGAACAGCAGTTATTTCACCTTTCAGCGCCACTAAATAAACACTGATCAAGAACAAAACAAACAAGCCACAGCTTGATACCTGAATTCCAATCAAATTACAATCTCCTGGTTCTCCCTGTTTCCTGCTATCTCTTCATTTCTTCCAGTATGCTTTTTACGCACCTGTTCAGTGATACCCCATGGCTGAGATTGCCTCGTAATCCCCAGCCTGTTGTAGTCAAAGCAGAAATTCCCTTGAAATCCCTTGACACGAAGGACTTCATATCAAGCCCAGGTCTTTTGTTCAAGTGTAACAGAAAAGAAGCTTGTAACAGCAGAGACATGAAAAGTCAGTTCTGCTGAAGGAAAACAAATATTCCCACTCCCCCTTGAAATCACTGCACTTTCCTTGAAATACAATTAAGCTGTGTGCACAGAGACATCAAAGATTGCTTATTAACCTGACATGGGGTGTCAGTGAGAGCCACCATCCCTGTCAGACCTACCATCCTTTCTCAGCATTGAAGTGGGGCCACTGAAGTTAAACACCCCAGGGCTCACAACTCTCTGAGTAATTTTTGTAATGCAGGCAGTACCATCCTGTGATACAATTTATCAGCAATACAGGAACATTATCATGAACTCCTAAGTTCCAGCTCTGTTGAAGAATGTATAAGGAGAKATCCTCATGTAAGGATCTCTACTTTTGGTTTAAAAGACTCCATTTCCTTAATACTCCGACTGTTATGCCCTCAACAAACACTAGAGAACAAACAAGAAAAGTAAACTTTCAAACAAAAGAACAAGACTGTGTTTTAGTTGATGCTGACAACACTGCAGCTAGTCATGGAAGTATTATAAGAAAAGCCTGCATACRCCAATATCAGCTTCAGACAATGAAATTATATTTCAAACCGAAATTTAAGCAAAATTTGAGGATGTGACAATTGGGACCTATAACTAATTAATATCAGGGTGAATTTTGAATTTTAAACACTGCATTTAATGGCAGTTGATGACACAATGAAACTTTTCAGTTTTTCTTCTGTCGTTTCAGACTACTTTAACCAATACTAACTAAAGGCACAATTCCTATCATTCAGTTGTTTGTAGAGCAGACTTGCATGATCAAAAAGGACACTGATGACTTGTTTTGCATGTTTTAATTTCACAGAATTGCAGCTTGAAGAAGCTGRGACATTACTGACCATCAGTAATCACTACCCTAAGAGGTATTCTCCCTCAGGAATAAGAGTATTCCACTTACTACACTCCAAAGACAGTGACAACATTTTCAGACAGACTCAAAAGCAGTATTGAAGGAGCTGATATTTAATTCTGTTGATCTCAGGTGCTGGGTACCTTTGTCTTCATACAGAAAATGTGTCAACTAAAAAACTCCCTTGCCAGTTACAACCTGTGTTAACATTCCTGGAACTCAAGATGTTTTCCTCTTACAATGTGGCTTTTTTCCTTTCACATACCTTAATTACATGATTAAAACTTGGCCCACAATCCTTGTGGACAAACACAATCCAGCCATAAGGGCACTCTTTCTAAGGACACCATTGCACCTGCCTATATGGTAGAACAAGTTAAGAAAACCCAGAGCAAAACAGAAATCCAGTGTCTCGTCATTGCTACAAATGATCGTACAAATGATCGGGATTTGTCGTACCAGAACACATTATTTTGAGTCAGGATGAATAATCATTGCTTTTGCTTGGTTGCACGGGAATGATGCTTATAYGATGGCAGTGTTGAAACTGTTGGCTAATTTTGTCAAAATAAAATAAATCTACAGACACTAGCTGAGACCATAGCCCTTCTGTACTAGTGCAAACGGGTGCCTGGCAGAACAATGACAGCAGTTGTGCTCTGGAGATGGAGTGATGTAAAAACAAAGTGACCAGGCCAACTCAGRAAATCAGATCTCTTACAGAACTATGTTCCTTCGTTGATTTAAAGTATACACTGAACTATACACTAAGCTGTACCAAGATTTTCTGTTTCCATGTTCAAGATACAGTGTGTCAAATCAGAGTTATTTGTATTTTTTTAAATTTTAAGGGAGATGCCAGTTCAGGAGCATTTACCCAGAAAATACTTCTCCCTTTCTTTTAACAGCTTTGTTTTTACCAAATTTCATATTGCCAAATGGAGGCTGTCACATATGAATGTATCACTCAGTACTGAGCTAAAAACTGGGGAAAACTGGCAAGCGTCTGATTTTAGACTTGCTTTTCCCTGTTGGCCTGTTTCTACAAAATTTGCAGGAACTTAATTACCTTGAAGCTGTTCTCCTTATGTCATATTGGGCTGAAACTGGGAAACAGCAAAAAAAAAAATTACATAAGGGACACATAACAAGACTAATAYGTATACATATATTAAAGGACAGCAAAAAACCTTGTTTCCAACAGAAGCTAGTTATCTTCCTGAAGCTGCAGTACAGGTGTGGAGTATCCCCTCAGGCAGTGGAATTGCTCTCCAAAGTCATGTGGATGCAGGTACAGCCACAYTCTGAGGCCAAGCATCCACAAGTATATTCAGCAGGTTTTAGGATGATTTGTATGCCACACATTAGTGGAGGAACACAAAAAATGGCTTTTCCCAAAGGAAAGCTAGACACTTTTTCAATGAGGGTAGTGCACAAAGGCCACACAGAGGACCCATGTGCCAGGAACASACTTGGAAGTATGGTACAAGTCTTGAGCAAGATGACAGAGAAAGGAGGAGCAGTGAAATGTGGCTGAAGGGAAGAACTGGAACTATCAGCAGGAATACAGCAAGAGAGGCAAGCACCATAGTACCGCACCTTGCATGGTAGCTAATTCTGCCTTCCTTGGGAATTTGAGGGGACTCCGGATCTGATGATTCACAAACAGCACTGGGTGTAGGGGAAAGTTGCTTTTATAGAGGGACCATCTGCATTGTCAGACTCCATTTCCTGACAGCTAGTTTGTAGGGAACAATGTTACTGTGACTCACCAAAAGATGTTTGTTTCTTTGTGGAAAAAAAAGGTCACCACGGGATTGATCACAATAAGTTACATTTCCTTGAGATCCAACTGGCTCACACATTTGGCAGCCACAGAGACTGTGCCAAGCTGATGTGCATTTCAACAACCGCAGATTTGGTACACTTTCAGGAAAAGAAGGAAAACACTTGAAGGCAACCAATGATCTTTTAAAGTTTTGTGGCATTTTTTAAATTCTTTCCCCGGAAAACAAGCACTGTGTACAAAGATTTTCAAATGACACACAACATACCAAAGGCTGAAAAGTAATATCCAAAGCAAGGAAGTGGTAAGAGTAGCAYAGTGATTTTATTTTTCATTAATGATTCAAGACAGCTTAGATTTGAGGCAAAGGAGAAGACAGGYATCTTTGCTCTGATGAACTTGCAAAATGAAGCAGTGTCTTGCAACCGTAATTTTCACAATTAGTCATCACATACATGCTTAACTTCTGCAGATTTCAGGCTTTTAACCTATTTGAGTAGATCAATTTCTAYAAATAACATTTTCCTGGACAAAGACCTAAACTCACACAAGGCCAAACCAATAAGGATTTGAGAATAAAAGATGACAAAAAACAGTGTAAGAGAAACTAAAGCCTTACTATAGATTGAGGTGTGGGGGAACTTSTCATACAGTAGTTGCACAGAACATAAGTTGCTGTTATAATGGAAAAACTAGGAAACTTTCTAACTGCTAAAAAAGAGAATGTGAGACAAGGTCAGACCCCTGTAAGGGGAATCAGAGCCAAGCTAGGATATACCTAATAGGTCTGAAGGGGAGAGAAGTGGGAAGGGAGAAGAGGAACAAGGACCTTGCAAACYGCAGTAGAGTACTGGCGGTGGGGACCTACCGATGAAGAAATGTGACAGTAACGCTGAGCAACCGGCTTTGGCAAGAGCCTGACATCTATCTGAGGAAGAAAAGTTGCAGAATGCAGCTGAGTGCTGAACCAGGCTGGCACTCGTTCGCAGATGCGATTTTCTGAAAGAAGCTAAATAAAAGGCATTACCCGTTTAGCGTTTATTATTTAGGGAGGTATGCTGCAGTTACTGCAGCGACGATATTACGTGTATTAGGACTAGACAGGGAGCTCTCGTACTACCCAGGGAGCTGTCCTGGCAAGGACGAGCCCTGCCGACGCTCCCGCTCTGCGGCCCCGGCGGTGCCCGCTACCCCCGTTACAAGGGCGGGCGGCCCGGGGCCGTGAGGGGACCGCGCTGTCCCGGCGCCGTTTTGCCCCGGCGCGCCGAGCAACAGGAGGCGGGTGTGGAGCCGGGCGGGCTGTCAGCGAGCCCCGCCGAGTCCGGCTCCCCGGTGCCACGGCGCGCTGCCTCCCGGCGGGACGGACCGGACGGGACGGGACGGTGCAGTCCCAGACGCCGCCGCCTCGTCGCTTCTCCCTCCCGCAGCCCCCCAGCACCGGCAACAGGGCCCGAGCAGCGCCGCAGGCCCCGTCCCACTCACCGCCGCGGCACCGCCGCCGCCGCTTTCCCCGCGGGCAGCCCCAGGGGCCGCGCTGCCTCGTCCCCG